GTTTTTTTTTTTTGGTTTTGTTTTATTTTGTTTTTTTTATGTTTGTTTTTTTTTTTTTTTTACTTATGCTGAGTCAGGAAGACTCCCTTAAGTGAGCCGCATGAGTCTCTGCTTGTCTCTAGCAAAACAGAGCCCACCTGAGAAAAATGCTGCTACCAAGAACCCATGCTTTTCTCTGTTCTTTTGTTTCTAAAATTCCTTTAAAGCTTTTGTCGTTCTACGTGGAAATTCAATCCCACACGCTGACACCATTATGTTGAAAGAAGCCTTTTCCTTGCCAGCGGCTTTGGTTTTTCCCCACCAGTCGCCTGGGCTCTGCCACGTTGTAGTCCCCAATAACTAGTGTAGGAAAAAGGCTATTTGACAAGGAATTTTTCTGGTCTTTGTCCCCCATTCCTGGGAATGAGACTCTAAATCTTTGGAATGTCCTGAGTGTAGGAGTATCCTTGTTATTCCCAGTGGGCCCAGTAGTTTATACTAATGAGATGATTCATGAGTTGCTCCTCAGATAGCTTAAGGTAGTAAGATGATTCATGCTGGGGGCAGGCTACATCAGCAAGATTAGCCTCTGATTAGAGGGCAGAGACTTTGGGCCTGAGATACCAGCCATCTTGGAACAAGACAGTGTCAAGAGTAAGCTATATCAGAAACAGACAACATGCGTGTGACTTTCCACAGTGCCAGGATTTACTGGGTAGCAAATTTACAAGGTATGATGCTTTCAATGTCAGCAATTTGCCACACTTCTGCTTTCCTTGGGCTGTAGATACAGCTCAGTGGTTAAGAGCACTTGCTATTCTTTTTTTTCAAGACAGGGTTTTTCTGTATTGTTTGGAAGCTGTCATGGAACTCAATCTGTAGACCAGGCTGGCCTCGAATTCACAGAGATCCTCCAGCCTCTGCCTCCCAAGTGCTGGGATTAAAGGTGTGTACCACCAACACCCAGCCAAGCACTTGCTATTCTTGCAGAGGACCTACGTTTGGTTCACAGAACCCACAATGGACCGTAACTCTAGCTCTAGAGGATCCATCTTCTGGCTTCCATGGGCACCAGGCACACATATGATGCACATACACACAGACATTTTTACACATACACATAAAATAAAAATAAATCTACACTTCCTTGACAATGCTGGTCAAGGTCAGCATGGGTTCCTTTTTCCAATCTTAATTACATTAACCTTAAGCTTTTACATTATACATCACACAGTAAATAGATTTATGTATATGTAACTACACACACACACACACACACACACACACACACACACACACTAGAATAACTGCAATGAGGTGGAAAGGCAAGAAGTTTCAAAGTCTGAGAGGCCAAAACTCGAAAACTAATAGAGATATGACTTTTTATTGACAAGATAGTGAACCCTACTAAACTGAAAGTCTTGCTGGAGAAGCTGCTGTGACTTGACTGTAAGGCAGGTTGCAAGGTCAGAGTTGAACTGCAGCGCTCCTACACACTCCAGAGGTAAAATGACAGGACCAGGTCTAGATGGATGAACAGGTAGATAGATGGACCACAGGTACAGATGGGCAAACACAAGGACAGACAGACAACAATTTGGGTAGACTGCATCATCACAGAACCAGGCTAAGCAGAGGCCCTTAGGAAAGTTGGGATTTCTCAGCCTGTCATTCCTTCCACTCATAAACTGGACAGTTAGATAACAGGTTGGTTGGGGCCATCATAGCCATAGAAATGCTAAATGCCTACCTGTTTGGGGGTAGGGGGTCCAGGTGAGGAAGTTACACAGTCTAGTATGCCCAGTGAATGAAAAAAAAGCCCCCAAAAAAAAAAAAGGAACATGCCTGCTCCTAGGTATGGTGGCGGAGAAATTTTATTATAGATATGTGGGAGAGCATAGCCAGATGCAAGATATCTGAGAGTCCAAAGTGACATCAGATGTGCCATGTGAGGGGGGGGGAAGGAAGAGGGTAGAGGGGGAACCAGGTGCAGCCTTGATTTCAGCAAGCACTCTACTCCTGAGCAATACTCCCACCTCTAAGGTAGTTATGTAACCTGAGAACTCCAGATTTTGTAGCAATTCTCTAGATTTTGTGAAGGATTTTACCCTAACACTATGAAGGCTGAGCTAAAATAAGATAGTATCCGAATTGCACTTCAACCAGCCATTCATAGTTAGGGGTGGTAGGAGTGTCAGCCATGTCCAGGGTAGAGGCACAGCTCCATTGTCATAGACACACACACACACATACCCTCACTCCACTGCCTTCAGTAGGAATCTTCACTCAGGCAATACTGGGGTTCATGGCTTCAGGCAGAAAAGAATTACAGGGCAAGCCAGTATGAAGCAGGATTGGAGACTTTTAAAAAGACATTTTTAATATTGCTCTAAAGCACAGGGGTTAATAGGAAGAGACTCTCAGGGTAAGAATAAGACCATACCCAAATGTGGATATGGGTTTTTCAAGAGAGAGTCATACTTAGCTATCTTTACAATGGGCCATAAAGGATTTGGTGGTTCTCAACTTCAGTTCTAAAGGTTGCTAAGAAACAAGTGTGTTCCCGGCCCCAAGCCTTTATTACACATTGCTTCAAATGTGTAGTTGACAACAAGGTCAAAAGTTTAAGCATCTGCTCTTCTAAAGTTGTGAAATTATCATGAGGGGTGAGTGCGAAAAAACTCAAGGTTACATAAGTACAGCTGATGTATGTCTTTGCCATTTTGGGGGATCTTTAGGAAAACAGACTTTGTCCCAGTATGCAATTTAGGTTTTGTCAGTGGGTTCCTCCCCTTAGTAGTAGAAAATGCAAACCAGATCTAGGGAGGAAAGGGCCCTTTTCTTTCTTTGGCTTTTCTTCCCATGTTCCCACAATTTCTTATCTTGCTTCAAAAACTCTTACTCTCTAATTCCAGATATTTGCTAAGGGACAATTTTGCCAGCAAGGAGGACAGTTTAGGTCTACCTTGTCAGTCCTCTTCTGCACAAGCAGCTTTGGTTTTGTATTTTGTTTGTGGCACTGGGAGTTGAACCTTGGGCCTCATCAATGCTGGGTGGATGCTCTACCACCGATTCTAGTTTCAGCTCACAAGTAGGTTCTTGGAAATGTAAGGAAGAGAACATTTGAGGTGAGGATTTATATCTAAGGAAGTTCTCTGGGAGGACGATTTGAGGCTAGGTCGTTTGGGAGCTAAAATGAGTCTGTGGTCTTCATTTGGGGTCAGCCACTGTACATACATTCCGTCTATTCTTGTGAGACAGAATACAATTAAATGACTTCTCATCTGTTAGACCAGGTTATGTCAATTTAATTTAGCTCAGTCAAAGAAGCCACTCCTCCATTCCCAAGGATATGTTTATATTGAAGTTTGGGTAATTATGAGTAAAGCTGTTATATTGTGGGTGAGCCTGGGGGAATTCCTTCTACTACAAAACACAAGTCAGAAAAGGACAAAATGGGAAATGGAGTAAATACTCAGATTGACACTGACTGCAGTAATAACCTATGATTATAAATACAAATGTGGAGAAGCACCTTAGCCAGTATATCATTTAATAAAGCAATAGCAGCTGCTTCTCCACTGGAGCCTGGTTCACAGGTTTTTGTCTAAGTTTCCGGTAGCATCTGTAAATTTCCTCCTGGTGGAGTGAGCCTGAAGTCCAATCAAAAGGTTGGCTCTATCAATAACCACTCACTCCACTATTCCAACACAAGCTGGCACATCTTGCCAGCAATTCTCATCAAGGATACAGGATTCAAAGCTGCATAATGGAACATGGGTTTTCCCTTTCTCTGTGTCAAAAGCCAGACTCCAGGGGTATCTTCTATTGCCTCTATTTCTCTTTTCTTTTTTCCTTCCTACTTGATCTTTCTCATAGTTTCCGGGGTTTGGGGTTCCAGGAAGGGCTCTTTAATATTGGGTTTTCTTTACCCTTCCATCTCCCAGTTGTGAGAAGTAGCAAGCTAACACCACCATGCCCCTTCTTTTATCCAATGTAGCCAGTAGATTGGAGGCCAACAAAGGAAGTCTGGATGACTCTTCTTGTTGCAATTGCTCCCTTATACCCTGCAATCTCCCTCTGTGCTGGCACCCGAATTTCAGATAGCTCTCTTATCACCCATTGCAGCAGCCAGGCTGCCCCTCGGCTGCCTGCTGATACCCCCACGACCACCCACTTGACAACTCCCAGTGTTTGTAACATCTGCTCTAGACCGTTAGCTCTCTCAAAACATCACCATACTCCCACCCATCAAGTAGGCATGTCACTCAAGACCACCCAGAAAACTTTCATCCCAACAGACATCCCCTCACCTTAGCTGCAGATCTCACTACTGTCTGCATTACCCGTGCCACAGCCACCACTGGCAAAAAGCACACCAACACATGCCACATGGGGACAGAAAGCCATGTCAAAATTTCCTCCACGAACATTCCACCATTAGACTTCAGTTGCCTGTCTCATTCCCTATATCAAGACACCATTTTTCTTCCAAAACTTGTCGGCTTTGGCACAACCACCCAACTACACCAGGTGTTGCTACATTTTCTTCCCTAGGGAGACATAAATGGTGTTTATGCCCCCCAGACCTACTGGCAAATCATGCCATCATGCCCAGCTCGAGGGACTCGTAAAGAATAGTATTGGTATTTTCAGGTTTTGTTTTTGTTTTTTTGAGCAGAGTGTCACTATGTAGGGTTGGCAAGCCTAGAACTTGCTATATAGACTGTGTTGACCATGAACTCAGAGATCTGCCTGTTTCTCAAGTGCTGATTTTAAAGGTATATGCAACCAATGCCTGGCACATTCAAGTAACAGTAGAAACTAAGTAGGTTGTAGTTAAGTATTTAGAAATGTGTGAAAACAATTAATGAAAAAAATAGGGCATGAACTTGAAAGAGAGCAAAGAGGGGAACATGGGAGGGTTTGAAGGGAGAAAAGGGTAGTGGGAAATGATGCAATTATATTATGACCTCAAAAAGTAGAAGAAAAAGTTTTAAAGAATAGCATCAAGTACACTGTATTTTTATAGCACACCAACTTGAGACATTTTCTCTGCATCACTGATCCCACTTAAGTTACTGCTTCCTCAGAACCTGGCCATCAGCCTGGTGAATCAACATGGCTCCTTTTCCTTATTCCATTCCTTTGGCATTAGTGCATACTGCTAACATCTTGAGTCTCTCTCTGTTGTCCCCACTCCAATTTCCTAGGAGAATATGGAAGGGTTATCCATTTGCAGGGAGGTCACTAGCATGTTGATCAGCAAAGAGCTGATAATTCAGTACATGTCATGACCATTCAGAGATCCTCTGCCAACAACACCGCTAGAGACTTTCACTTAAGAGGGCTATGGCTGTACAGAGGCCAACCCGAGAAGGAACTCCTCAGAGCTGCTCAATCCCTGGCTTGACTTACAGCAGAAAACAATTATTAGACAGAGGGTGAGAAGGCTGTGGAGTCCATCACCTAAGTTCACCTGGACCCTGGTATGGTAACCCCCTGTGCAGCCTGTGTCTGTTAGCACACACAGACTGTGGCAGTTATTCCTCCTTGTGGAACCCTCCAAATAGTTGAGCTCTAACCCCGCAATAGTCTTTCTTTCCTTCTTCCTTTCTTTCTTACAGCTTAAAATAAATGTGATATCAACAAATTCATGACCCATCTGCTGAGCAGATCACTCCATCTGTGGCTTTGGCCCTGCTACCTGATTGGAAGCCTTGCAAAAATGTCTCTGGCCAAACATTGTGTTGCATCAGAATTTAGATTCTCAGCCGGGCATGAAAGCTCTCATTTGTAACCCTAGCATCAGACCTCTTCAGTCAGGGAGTTTGAGGACAGTGTGCATAACTAGCATAGGTAAAGTCTACCTGGAAACAAAAAAATTCATAATCCTCACGAGAATTAAAGTTATCTTAGGAATAAAATAGTAAGATCCAGGGTTGGAGATATATATATATATATATATATATATATATATGATGGGCATGATGGCAGTGCTATGATCCCAGCACTCAGAGGCATGAGGGTCTCTGAGTTTGAGAACAGCCTGGTCTGCAGGGCAAGTTTGGGGCCAGACAGACAGGTCTTACTAGACTATGCCCACCACAAAATAAGACCACAAAGACTAAATAGGGCTGAATTTAGAATAATTATAATGTGAAATGTCAGGGGCTGGAGAGACGGCTCAAGCCAATTAAGAGCACTTCCAGAGGACCCACGTTCAATTCCCAGCACCCACATGACAGCTCACGACTGTCTGTAACTCCAGTTCCAGGGGATCCAACACCTTCACACAGACATACATGCAGGCAAAACACCAATGCTCATAAAATAAAAATAAAAACTTTTAAAAAATGTGAAATGTCATTTAGAAAAAGTATAGCCCATTTTTTTTCCTGAGTTCTAACTTAAAAAGCAGCATATGCTTTTTCCTTTTCCAGACACGAGCCAAGGCCTAAGCACACTTTCCCTAACACCGTGTAGTTTCTCTGAAGACTTCCTCATCCCCATTACCTTCACCCTTGCCCCACAAGCCCTTTCAGCAGTTGCTTGCTGGCCTGTGTCTAACACAAAAGGCATGATGTTATCTCCTGTTTCCCTCCTCCCAGCAGCTGTTGGGGTTTTCAGTTTGCCTTCCCTATTGTTTTTCTCCCCAACTCCAATAAAATCATCCTCAAATTTCTCACACACACACACACACACACACACACACACACACACACACACACACACACACACACACACGGAGGGAAAGGAAAGGAAGAAGGAGAGGGGAGAGAGGAAACATTAAACTAGCCCAGGCACTCAGGAGGTAGAGACAGGAAGATCAGGGGTTCAAAGTTTTTCATGGCTTCATAGCAATTTTGAAACCAACCTGGACTATATATGGAGACCCTGCCCCAGCCCAAACAAAAGATAAAGAGAAACATAATGGTTTAATTACAAAAAGCAAAAAGCTAAATTAGCTTAATTGTTTTCCTACCACCATTCCTTATCGTGTGTCTTAGGGTTTCCATTGCTATGAAGAGACACCATAACCTTTTTTTTTTTATGTGATTGTATTTTGCCTGCATTTCTGTCTGTGTGAGGGTGTCAGATCTCCAGAAACTGGAGTTACAGATAGCTGTGAGCTGCCATGTGGGTGCTGGGAACTGAACCCAGGTCCTCTGGAAGGGCAGCCAGTGCTCTCAAGCACTGAGCCATTTCTTCAGCCTTGACCACAACTCTTATAAAGGGAAACATTTAATTATGGTGGCTTGCTCACAGTTCAGAAGTTTAGTCCATTATCAGCGTGGTGGGAAGCAAGGCAGCATGCAGGAGGACCCCAGGAGCTCAGAGTGGAGGAGCTACATCTTGACCCACAGGCAATGGTAAGTGATCTGAGGCACTGGGTGTGGCTTGGGCATCTATGAATTCTCAGAGCCACTTCATGTATATCTCTTTTAAAGAGAGGGGAGTAAAAAAGATTTCTTAAATAACCTTTGGGTTTGAAAGCCACCAAAATGGCATCTACAGCTAGCACTAAGTGCTCACTCTCTGAGAAGCCCACGTCACATGTAGATGTGTCCTGCTTTCTTTGACTTTGGAGAGCCCCCACACACACACTCTCTCTCTCTGATGTGTATTCCTTTGATGTGCCTCTATTAACTCTCGTGATTAAGCCTACATTAAAATGGCTTTAATAAACTCCCAACTTGGCTTCACTACACCAGCTAGCCCTGAAAGTCCTTCCAGTATCAAGGTCATGCTTGACCTCAGTATTCAAGGTTGATAAGCTTCAGGAGAGTGCTCAGGGCACAGAGCATGGGATTGCACAGCTGCATCTCTTTCCCTGATGCTGGAGATTCATGCAAATGAACCCATTTTAGAATTGAGAAATACCCTCATAATATTTTAAATGGATGAATTAGTGTTAGGTTACAGGTAGCCTGTGGGCTGCAATGTGGACACACCTGAACCCACTGATGCATTCATGGTTTGAAGGGAAGGTGATAGAACTTTCAGAGGTGGGCTGCTTGGAGGAGGGAGGTTATGAAGTCATGTTCTTAGGGGCTATCTTGTCTTTACCCTTTGCTGCCTCCTCTTGCTTCCTGCATGATTTAAGCAGCAGGCTCCCTAATCTTGTTCTACCTCAGTGTGCAGCAGAAGAGAGACTACAGGAAGTAACATGAGGATGAACTTATATGAGAGCTCACAAGGAGGCTTGTGAAATGGCTCAGCAGTTAAAAGCGCTTGCTACTCTTCCAGAGGACTCTAATTCAATTCCAGCACCCATATACTCCAGCTTCAGGACAAATGAATTCTCTTCTGGCCTCCAAGGGCACCCACACACATGTAGCACCCACTCAACACACATACAAATAAATTTAAAAAGATAAATAAGAACATCTCTTCTTCTGTTTTTTCAAAGCAGGGTTTCTCTGTACAGCTCTGACTGTCCTGGAACTCACTGTAGACTAGGTTGAACTTGAACTCTGAGATCAACCTGCCTCTGCCTCCCAAGTGCTGGGATTAAAGGCCTACCTACACCCACCACCAGAACATCTTTTTAAAAGAGGATCAACGATGGCCCTGGGTAACACATACTTTTAATCCCAGCAGAGGAAGATAGAACTCTTTTGAGTTCAAGATCAGCCTGGTATACAGAGCAAGTTCCAGGACAGCTAAGGCTAAACTAATAGTGGATGAACATATAAAAGACAGCTGGTGTCAGGTAGTGTCAGCAACACACATCTTTAGTCACAGCACTTGGAGAGCAGAGGCAGGCAGATCTCATGAGTTTGAGGCCAGCCTGGACTACAGAGTTCCAGGACATCCAGGGCTACACAATGAAACCCTGTCTCAAAAAACAAAAGAAGAAGAGGAAGAGGAAGCCACCAGTTGGCCCCCAAAAAAGAGAGAGACCGAAAACCCTTCCCTTCCCCACCTGCCCTTCACTAGCAAAAGGAGTACATTCAATAAAACCTTGCCATGTACAGACCAGAAAGAAGGAGCGGGTTGTATGCAAGTGTCCAAGTGTCACATTGACTCACAGCCCAGCAATGTGGGAGCCTTTCTCTCAGCTCACTAGTTCACGCCCACTAGAAGTGCTTTCCCTTTCTGATATTCTATTTCTATTCCAACCATTCCACGAGTATATGACCTCCACCAGGAAGCTCATCTTCACACCCATACCCTGCTAGAACTCCTCCTTGGTGTAGATGAATCAGTCTATAGTGGTATAGTTTCTTATCACCACTCACCTCAAAGAACCCAAAGTTTTAGTCACTTGCATAATGTTGGCTGCAAGATGGGACTACATGTGGAACTGACTGGATTTCCCTCTGAGCAGTGATCAATAGGATTCAGTTTGGGGAGCAATTGCTTTCAACCTATTGCCTATTACCCCAACATCCTGTCTTCCGTTTCTACCTCCTCTGTGCAGGTGTTGCTGAAAGCAAGATCTTCTGCCTTGAAACTTTGTAACCCAAAGACTTCCAGGAAAGAATAAATGAGTAGATGCAACACAACCAGAAATCAAATAGGATGAAAAATGTCATCAGATCTTGGCACTTTGGATGGCACTCAGTTGAGTTTGTAGCTGAGGAGGCTGCTCCCCTCATGGCAGTCAGGAGCAGAGGTGCACTGATGGAATTATTCTGGCAATCTCTGAAAAACGGACTGAAGCCAGAAATATTAGCATTAGTAATACAAAGTAGACATTAAGGTCACAGGTACAATTGCATATGTGAACTATTTTCTTTTTCCAGTGATGGGGCTAAAACTCCTGCTTGCTAAACAAAGGCTCTACCTCTGAGGTACATCCCCAGTCCCTAGTGTGTCTACATGAATGTGCATAGGCGCATGCATACATGTTGGGATTAGACCGACTTTGCATGTGCTAAACATGTACTCACTGAAGTACACCACCAACAGCCCGATTTCATCTAAGTCAGGGTGCTGTTATGTAGCCCAGACTAGTTAGTCTTGGCCTCTTGATTGTCCTGCTTCGGCCTCCTAAATGCTGGCATTACAGATATGGCCACAGAAACCAAGCCTAGCCTAATTGAAACAAATAAACACACATACTATGAGGATGTGGTATAGCATTTTGTTTTAAGTATTATTAAATTCCCAATGTTTCATTCTGACATTGCAGACATTTCTATTGCCACTACTCCCCCAGAAGCGTATCTCCTAACCCCTTGCCACCTAAAAAGCCTGATTTTGGCCGGGCGGTGGTGGCGCACGCCTTTAATCCCAGCACTCGGGAGGCAGAGGCAGGCGGATCTCTGTGAGTTCGAGGCCGGGCTGGACCGATAGCCTCCAAAACAATACAGAGAAACCCTGTCTCGTAAAAACCAAAAACCAAAAAAAAAAAAAAAAAAAAAGCCTGATTTTGTCTTCTGTGCTTAGGCTATTCTCTGCGAATCAAATGTCCCTCCAGTTCCACCTAAGGATACATCAGAGCTCTACAGCCTTCTCTTAACCCTCAAACTCCATTTATCTGAAGTTGTCAGTAGCCTTTGAGACCTGACCCTTTTTATGCCTTCTCACCATCCCCATCACTCCCCACTCTCGGTGCCTAGCCTCGTGCAGATGTCCCTCCCATATACCTATCTCGCCCATGTGGTGGCCCACGCCTGCAATCCCAGTGTTTCCAAGGCTGTGGCTGAAAGACTGCTCTGAGTTTGAGACCAGCTTGGGCTACAGACTAGTCTCCCTATCTAAAAATTACAAAAGATGCGATTTTATGCAAGCAGTAGCTTTTTCTGGTTTTTGTTTTTCTTCTTCTTTTGAGACTGGGTCTCTATGGAGGCTTGGCTAGTCTGGAACTCACTAATGTCGATCAGAAGGCTTTGGACGCAGAGATCCGCCTGCCTTTTCTTCCCCAGCTTTGGGATTACGGCGGGCGCCACCACGCCCAGCTGAGAGTACTTTCTTTAATGCTCCCAGCCCAGTTAAAATGTTACCCCAATCTTAGGTGAGTAATGAGGCAGTCTACGACTTCCGGCTGGACACATCTGTGAGAAAGGCTCAAGGACTCTTGATGGGAGTCATTCGGCGAGGTGGGATTCCCTGACTCTAGTTCTCTGTGAAGAACCTTAACAAATTTAACTCTTGAGACCTCGGATGCTCCGTAGGAGCCAAGAGTCACGCATTCGCCAAGTGCATAAGGGTCACGAGACCATCTTCGTGTGTGTATAAAACAAGAAAAAAAATCAAACCACCGATAGAAACTCTAAAACACAGCGACTGGGTCTAAATCCCTTTCCCCTGGGACCAAACTCCCAAGAGAAACCCAACCGAGTGGCGCACAAACCGCCGCAGCCAAGGCGGCACGCAGCGACCTCGCGCAACCAGGAAAAGGAATCACCTGCCCACACGGGCGGCTCTGATTGGCCACGGGCTTAGCTCGAACGCCCGGAGCGTGTGGCGTCACTTCCGCTGGGCCCGCCATCTTGTTCCCAGGGGCAGTTGGCGGAAGAGATCGCACTCCTCGGCTGCCCGCTTTGCCTTGCGCCTGGAGTTCTCGCCGCCTGCGCTTGGTCTCCGCCCTGGGCCCGGGGTCCGTGTGGCGGCGTCCCGGTTGCAGTCCCTCGCTCGGCTGGGGCACAACGCGGCGGGCTCCCTGCCCCGACGGCCTTCCATGGAGTAGGTCCGGGACCGTTGTCCCGAAGAGCGCGATCGAGCTTGGCCCCCTCCTCCCGCCCGCCCGCCCTCCTTCCTGCCGCGGCAACATGGCTAACAACAGCCCCGCGCTGACCGGCAACTCGCAGCCGCAGCACCAGGCGGCCGCGGCCGTGGCCCAGCAGCAGCAGCAGTGCGGCGGCGGCGGCGGCGCCACCAAGCCGGCGGTGTCGGGCAAGCAGGGCAACGTGCTGCCGCTGTGGGGCAACGAGAAGACCATGAACCTCAACCCCATGATCCTCACCAACATCCTGTCGTCGCCCTACTTCAAAGTGCAGCTTTACGAGCTCAAGACCTACCACGAGGTGGTGGACGAGATCTACTTTAAGGTACGCATCCTCTAGGCCCCGGCTTGGGGGGGGGTGAGTTCGCCGGTGGGAGCGCCCCCCCGCCCCGAGACCCGAGGATTTGGGGGAGGGGGGAGCTGGCGGAGGGAGAAGTGCTCGTGGCTGGTTCGGGACGGGTCGGGCTAGGGCCGCCCTCTTCTTCCTTTCCAGGTTGTGTGTGTGAGTGTGTTTTTTAATGAGACGGGCGAGCCCGCCGCAGTCGACTTTTAACCTACCCCAACCTCCTGCCTGTCCCCAGGGAGCTGTTGGGCAAGAGGGCTAAGGGAGAGGAGGAAAGTAATACCAGCAGCCGTCCGAGTTCACCATTTTAGAAATGACTCCTTTTTACCTGTGTCGACTGAGCACCGACTCGGTGCTTCTGCTGCCCCTCGGGCCAGCGGCTCCCCGAAGTAATTACTTTGAATGTCGACCTCGTGTTCTTCGCTAACTCTCCAATCCAGACAGAAATTGGTTAGTGTGAGTGTGTCGGGAGGGGTGGGAGGGTTGAGGGTGGCGTGGTGTGCCAGTGCAAGGAGGCGTACGTACAGAAGGCCTGGAAATTTTCCCAGCAGGAAGTCAGGAGTCGGAGGTCTCAGCCACCTGTGCGTTGGGCATCATTAGAGTTATCTGGGCCCTGGGCTTCTGCGGCAGGGTCGGTGCTGGCTTGGCTGTGCTGGGAAGCTCACCTGGCGCCTCCTCACTGCACTCTTGTCTCAGTTCTTGTTTCGTTAGCAGGATTGACTCAGTCTTGCAGCGAGGCTCGGAGCAGCCCAGGGTCGCAGGTAGAGGTATGCACTATTAATCATGCTCAATCGCCATAAATGCATTTCCCTGGTTAAATGAATGGCTAATTAGGTTTTTTTTGTTTGTTTTTTGGGCCATTGATTTTGGTCTCACTAACTAGAGTCTCCACTTCCTTGCAAATTAGGTAGTTTAAAAAATACCTTCCAGGCCTCCGAAGTTAATTCATGTTTTAATGAGTATTAATAGTCTTAATGTCTTTTAAGCATTTTCCTTGCGCATGTAAAATAAAATACATCTAATTTTTCTTGTCTTGACACGTAGAAACTTGAGACAGAAGAGTAAGATATTTTTCGTCATCTAAATATACTCGTGGAGGTGTTAACAAAAAATTCTCTATATATTTTACCTGTTTTTCTCCCGATTACATGTTTAGGTTAATGAGAGATTTTTGAGATACTAACTGCTTTTTATAGAAAAATCTTTTAACTTTGGATGTATGGAGTACACAAGTACACTTAAGTAAGTGTAGCTGATACTATGGAGTAGATGTTTTTAAAACTAGCTTTTAAAAGGTAAGGCCTTTTCAGTGTGGATACAGTGCAATGAGCAGTAAGTTTATACAGTTTGAAAGATTGGGTTCCTGTACTTTTGTGACAGGTCGTTTTAAAATACAGGCTAATATTTTAAGTTAATTTCAAATGTTGAATTTTGAAACCACCTTTTCCACCAGAGAGTAAGTTTAAATTCATTTTAAAACTAAAGTGTCGGTTGGAGAGATGCCCCATGGATTAAGAGCATATAATGTTCTTTCCAGAGGACCTAGTTCAGTTCCCACCATCCACACTGGGCAGGTCACAACTTCCTGTAATCCCAGTTCCAGAGGATCAGACCCACACATACACATAATTAAAAATAAAATCATAAGTCATGACCTAAACTTACTATGAATTTCTTTGGATCAAATAAATAATCTTTGAAACTTATAGGATTCCAATTTTGCATTGTATCTCCTCCTTTGGGTACCCTTTAAAGAAGAGAAACAGTCTATGGTTCAATTCAAACTGGTACTGCACTTACTCCACAGGGACAAGTCCCTAGGTTCAGCCCCAGCACTGGGGGCTATGTGGGGCATGACTTACACCATTTGTTGGAACAGGAAAGAACTGCAGGAGCTGAGCAAAACAGCTTCTATTTGATACCGGTGGTTTTTCCCCGTGCTTCAATTTAAATGTGGGTTTTTTGTTTTTTGTTTTTTTTTTTTGGTTTTTGTTTTTTGGGTAAAGCCACTGAAGTGTTAACATGTATGGGCAGAAAAATTTCAGAAATATCTAATATTTTTGTTTTGTTTCTTTTAGTGTTAGCTTTTTGCTATTAGGTAAAGCTGTTTTCTTAAGGTGCTTCTTTGAGTAAGGATGGTACTGTATCATTGATTATATTTTGTGTATGTTAATGATGTCACACTTAGCTTTTGACAGTTTATTCTCTGGGTTTGCAGATAGGCTAAATGATCTTGTGGCTTTGTGATTTTAATCTTTAATTAAGAAAGAACTTGATCCAGAGGTAAAAAGTCCCAAGCTAAGTGTGGTAGTAATCCAAACACTTGAAAGGCAGAGGCAGGAGGATCTCTGAAGTTGAGCCAGCCTGATCTAAATAGTGAGATCCAGGTTTGCCAAGGCTGCAGAGACCCAGCTCGGAACCCCACCCCCACCCTTCCCTGCCACTGAGCAACATGAGAAGCCCTAGAAAACTTCACTTTATTTGGTAGTGTGGTTTTACATTCACCATAAAGCTGCACTGGTAAGAAGGAATCTTATTTCCTTAGAGTGAGAACTTTTTTTAATTATATAAAAGATAAAATAGTACCAAATAATTTTTGCAAGCATAAGGAGTTATAGAAATTCCCTGGCCTCCACATAGATATGGCCTGTCTATAAAGCTAGTTTAGTGAGTTGTCTGCTTTGAAAACAAGCTGCCAGGGGTTTGTTAAATCTCATAATTTTGTTAGTATTCTGTCTGAGCAGTGTTCCCAAAAGATGGTTTCTGTACTTAGTGTGAGCACAGGGTGGTGTGGATGGCGCACCAAGTGGCCCGACACTTGGGAGAGTTGCTCTTATGAACTAAGCTGACTTAGACTGAAAGATTCAGAGTACGAACGTTTGTTGTCTTCCTCTTTTTTACTTTCAGGTCACACATGTTGAGCCATGGGAGAAAGGAAGCAGGAAAACTGCTGGCCAGACGGGGATGTGCGGAGGGGTAAGTAGAAGTACGTGCATTTTTTTCTCCAGTTTTTCTGTCTGCTGGGTTTATAGGAAAGCTAAATGACAATTCATTGGCAGATCTTAACACAAAAATGCAAAGTTCAGGTCTCCGTTGAATTAGGTTAGTTTTTATGCTGCTGTATTTCTTATTCTAGATCATGGTTATTAATACCTAAAACAGCACCAATCAATAGGTATTAAGTATCTGTTTATTGTTTTTTATTAACTCTGTTTATTGTTTTTTTATTAACTCTGTTTTCCTTTAAAGGTTCGAGGTGTTGGAACAGGAGGCATTGTTTCTACAGCTTTTTGCCTGTTATACAAATTATTTACCCTGAAATTAACTCGAAAGCAAGTGATGGGTCTCATAACACATACAGACTCTCCTTATATCAGAGCCCTTGGATTTATGTATATAAGGTACGCAGGCATTTATCTATATTTTTAAGTAAACATTTTATTTTAATTCCCTTACACTGATAGATTTTTTGTGTGTGTGTGGTCTTAGGTATACACAGCCCCCTACAGACCTGTGGGACTGGTTTGAGCCCTTCCTGGATGATGAGGAGGTATGTCAGCAAGGGGATCGGCCTTCTGGTTCCTCTACTCTTGAGCTTTCATTTGTTGGCGTTTAATGTCTTCAGGGTTTTTGTAAATTTATTTCAGTGCTACTTTTGGGATTGTTATTTTACTAAGATTTGATGAGTTTTCCATGTTAGGTTAAATTTTTAAGTTATTTTAATGTTTTAAGAGTTATGCTTTAATAACTTGAATAACCTTTTCTTCTAATTACACTGTACTGTGTTGATCCTAACTTCAAGGACTGATAGTGGCTTTCTAGGATATGGTGGTAGAAGGCGTGTACTGCCGTAGCTGCAGGCATTTTAAATCTCCTGGAACTTTAGTTTTTGTTGTTTGGTTTTTTGTTTGTTTGTTTGTTTTTTTACTTTGACGTTTCCCTAACAGCAATATTTGTATTTGCTTACAAGTACAGACTTACAAAGAGTTGGAATTGGCTTAATTGACCTGACAGTTATACTTTTCCAAGATGAGGAAATAATTGTATTTCTTTTCCATTTTCTTTTTGAGCCAGATACTCAAGTCTGTCTTAGAACAACCTCAAACTTACAATCCTTCTTCCTGCTTCAGCCTCCTGAGTAGCTGGGATCACAATAGGCATTTGCCATCATGCCTGCCTAATTCTAGCTTTTTCAATCAGTATAATACACAGTATACTTTTTTAGAGGCCGTGCTTAAGTTTTTAAAAACTTACTCATCTCCTTTGATCTGGGCTTGATCCCCAATACTGCTGTCTCCCCTCCCCCCCAAAAAACAAAACAAAACCACATTTCCTTAAATTAGCACTTCAGATTCTTTGAGTCTAAATCTGGTCACTGTGTCAAGCCCTGGGACATAATAACAAAGGTTAG